CGCGCCGCCCGCCTGCGCCGCCGAGCCGGTGCCCGGCGTGGCGGGGCTGCGCAACCACGGCAACACGTGCTTCATGAACGCCACGCTGCAGTGCCTCAGCAACACCGAGCTCTTCGCCGAGTACCTGGCGCTCGGCCAGTACCGCGCCGGGCGGCCAGAGCCCGAGCCCCCCGCGGCGCGCGGCGCGCCGGGCCAGGGCGAGGTCACCGAGCAGCTGGCGCACCTGGTGCGGGCGCTGTGGACGCTGGAGTACACGCCGCAGCACAGCCGCGACTTCAAGGTGAGCCCGCGCGCCGGCCGGCCTGCCGCCGACCCAGCCGACCCAGCGTTGGATGCCCGCACGGCCGAGCAGGTGCCCCGGCTGTGCGCGAGGCTCGCCCGCGCGTGCATTTGCCGAGCGGCGCCGAGAACGGCGCAGCTCCTGGGCCGGGGACTGGGCACCGGATGCTCAGCGAGGTCTAGAACAGATGCTTTGACTGTAAGGGAGGCCCGTGCATCCGTTCATGGGTCTCTGCACGCGTCCAGGCAGGCCACCTGCCCGTTCATCCGGCGTGCGCGGAGAGCCTGCTGCTCAGGCACCAGGTCCTGGGGCACTGGACACTCACACAAGTCGGGGACAGATGCGTTGATAATGAGGGAGGCCTGCCCGTCCGTCCATCGGGCCATCGTCCATTTATCTGTCGTCACCCATTCATCCAGTGTGTACTGAGAGCCTGCTGTCTGAGCGCCGGGTCCTGGGCCCGGGACTGGGGGTTGGATATTCGCACAGGTCTGGGAAAATTCCCTGACTGCAAGGGAGGCCCGCCCAACCATCCATCATCCATTGATCCATCATCATGCACTTTTTCAGTGTGTACCGAGAGCCCACTGCCTAAGCACCAGGTCCTGTGCTAAGTAACCGGCATTGATACTTAGGCCTGGGACGGATGCCCTAATAAGGGAGGCTCGCTCGTTCATAGCCATTCATTCATTGTGTGTGTACTGAGAACGCGTAGATCGTTTGCTAGGCACTGTGGAGAGGTATTGCTGTGAGCAAGGAAGGCCCTGCCTTCATGGGTCTTGCATTCCAGGGAGTGGCTAAGATTAGGGGAACATGCCCTAGGTTCAAGTCCTGGTTTTGTTACTCCCTAGAGGTGTGACCCCAGGCGTGTTAACCTCTCCGTGCCACAGGTTTGTCACCTGGTACCTACCTTGCAGCAAATGAGTTGACATGTTAGGTTGGAAACTATCCCCCGTTTTTTACTTCCAGATTGGTACTGTTAGAGGACTTGGCCTGTGTCACGTGCAGCTGGGTCTTGAGTACCATGTGTATTGGCTGCTGTTACTTTTGTTACTAAATACCTTAGTAAGTTAAGGAGATAATAGCAGGCAGGTAATGGTTTGAGGAAAGAACCTGGTGGTGCTATTGATGTGCTAGGAGGCTGCTTTAAAGTGGGGAAAGTGCCCGAGGCGCCTTGTGTGCTCCTGCTGGTGAAGCTGCAGCGAGGCAGGTGAGTGCCTAGAGTGCTGCCCAGGATGGTAGCCTGGCCCGGTTGGTGTCGGGCCTTTCAGGCTATGCTGAAGCACTGGACTCTTACTCAAAGCGGAAGGGGAGTGGTGGTGAGTGTGTAAGGGACCCTGAGGTGAGACGTGGCCAACAGCGTTAAATAGGCACCTCAAAGGGCAAGAAAGTCAGTTTCTTCTCTTTTTATCCTGATCCAGGAGAGTCTCAGCTTGATGCTAGCTTGTTGTTGACAAACCTCTTGCTCTTGTCTCCCTCATCCTCCCCCTTGTTTTAAACAGTGAAAAAACAAACCAGGTTTAGAGGTGTGGTTAGGCAACAGTAGCTCAATTTAATAAGGTTATGTTTTATTGGCCTTTTTCCCATTTGCCTTCTATTTATGGCAGGTGGTACTGGCTCTCCATTGGTGCTATCAAATTTCTTTCTAGAATACATTGAAGTAAATGATACAGTATAATATGGTGATGTTCTGTTTTCTTGCCTAGGAGCAGCACCACTGCCAGGATACACTTTTCCCCCTTGATGTTTTATTATATTTTATTTCTGTTGCTAAACCCCATTTATCCCAAAAGGAAAATATAGTTACTGTCTATTTCAGCTTGGTCTTGAAAATTTGAATGAAAATACTTGACTGAGATGAAGGCTGAGAAAAGAAAGATCTGCAAATAAGGAATGGAGAGTGGCAGTGAGGTTGCCACTGTTGCTCTTTCTCCCTCTCCTCTTAGAGTTATCTGTAAGTCACAGCACTTGCAAACTTTTCAAGGCCAGAGCCCAGGCTTAAGTTTGGTTGTCTACTTGTATTCAAAATGTGAGAGTCTGTTTTTATAGCATGAACACTTCATTGCCCTTTATGCGATTGCTTTCCCTCGTTTATCCATTAAGCCATGAGCAGAAGTGGGTGAATAATTCTAGAAGTGCAGGGACTGATTGATATGCATACTTTTGCAAAATTGAATAGTTTTTTTTTTTTTTTTTTTTTTCGGTACTGGGAATTGAACTCAGGACCCTGCGCTTGCCAGGCAAGTGCTTATTTTACTGAGCTATCTCCCCGGGCCCTGAATAGATTCTTAAAGGTAATTTTCATTGCTTTTTACCCACTAAATTATGAACAGAAATGGGTCACTATGTCCAAAAGTGCAGACAGTAAAGCATACTTTACAAGAGTCGAACAGATTGTTAAAGCACCACCTTTTTATTAAGTAATGGTTTTCTGAACTTTTTGAGATTTCACTCTGCATTCATAAATTTTCATTCATTCATTTATGCGTTTAGGACAAGAAAGAAAAATCCCTGGTGAGAGTGCTGTAAGTGTAGAAACACTGAAGTGTTGGAGCAGTGGTCTGGAGGCTGGCAGCTCTCAGGGGTGCAGTGCTGCTGTGCCCCACAGAGACCTTGACAGTTGCTGTGTCTCCGTGGTGGGTCCTACCCAGGGCGTCTGGCCTCGCAAGTCACCGCCTCATGGTGGCCCGATGATGGCACCCTGCTTTTTTACCCAGGAAGGTGGAAAGTAATTAGAGAAATAAAAGTTCTTTCAGAAGCCCCCTAAGTGGGAGGCCGGAAGGTGGCTGTATGGGAGACAGGAAGGGGCTGTCTCTGTAGCCCCCGAATCTACCTGCTGTGTGTGTCAGGTGTGTTCCAGGGGAAGATGTGGAGTCCAGCGGGACGTGGCATGTTCCCCCAGACAGTACTTCTTGCACTTGAGTGTGTGCATGATTTACACTCATAATTCTCATAAGGATCTTGTTTAAAAGGCATATTTGTATTTGGTACAGCTGGGGTGGCACCTGAGAGTGTGCGTTTGTAGCAAGCCCCTGAGTGACACCTGTGCTAGTCAGTGACCACACTTTGAATAGCACACTCCAAGAATCAAGGAAAACATCACAAAAAAGGGCAATTTTTGAGCATTGTTCTGAAGGATGAATAGAAGTTTATGGGCAGAGGAGTGTATGTGTGTGTGGGTGGGAAAGGACAGGTATTTGGGGGAAATAGACATGCGGGGGCTGCTTGCACTCTGCAGAGCCCTGGGTGTGAAGAAAGCTTGGGAGAGGTGTGCTGGGGAGGCCTTGTGAAGGCTTCCGTGCTGGCTGGGTTTTATCCTTTGGAAGTTGAGAATCCAGAGCTGAGTTTTAAGTAGGACATGGATATGTGAGGTTTATTTATTTATTTATTTATTTTTGAATCCAATTAGGCAAGCCTGATGACACTGTGAGGGGTTGGCTTATTTCTTTTTTCAAATTTTTATTGTGGTCAAATGTCCTGCCCACTATTTTGAGTGTAGAGAAAGTTGGGGTGACTGTGAAGCTTAGCTGCTACCATGCCCCGGTGCTTGTTTGTGGCAGGCACCGTTGATTTTAATAGTCTTCACATTCAGGTAGCCCACATTTGGCCTTAGAATCCTGCTTTGTGTGGGCTCCTGGCAGCCCCCCCCCATTGGAATTGGCAGTGTGATAAATTGGTAGAGAAAATAAAACCAATTTGCCTTCTTGAGATAGTTTGCTTTGAGTTCTAGAAATCACACAGTATCTGTTTTTGTCATTTTGAAACTTGAAGTTACTAATACTTCTCAGTAAGTTTCTCAGCTAGAATTCCTTGCTTTCTAATCACTTTGAGTTGTGTCTTAGGAGTTTGTCAGGTCTTTGGCTTTTTTTAGATAGGCCAGATGGTTGATAAAGTTGGGCTTTCATGTCTGTTAATGAACAAGTGGACCAGCTTGCCCTTGATGGGCCTCAAGAAATCTGTCCAACTGCAGTTTATACATTTATTTGTTTATTTTTGGTACTGGGGATCAAACTCAGGACCTTGTACTTGCCAGGCAGGCACTTAAGCCACTGAACTGTCTCCCTAGTCCCCCTTTTTCTTTTTATATAGATTTTTTTTTTCTTCTTCATAAAAGACTTGTTCTCAACCAGGGTACATTTGCCTCCTAGCATGCAACTGTACCTGTACCTGTACTTTCCAGGGCATTTGTGTTTGAAGACCTTCTGGGTTGTCCTAACTGGGGTAGGGGTGTTCCTGGTATCGAGTTGTGGTTTCCAGGGATGCTGCTAAGAGGCAGACAGCATGCAGGATAGCACCCCTATCCCCCAAGGATAGGGTTAATTAGCCTAAAGATCAGTAATGCTGAGACTGAGAAACTGGTGGGTGCATTTGTGGGCCTCAGCAAGTTTCCCTTCTCCAGCCTCTAGTGTGGTTACCCTGTTACTTTCCCCTCTTTCTATCTGTGTGTGTGTTTATAGCAGCATTGATAAAATTTGGATATGACCCTTGTTATCAGTGACTTTTTAGTAAAAGAGTAGAAGTAAATAAGTCATTTTGAAATCTGAGTGCTCAGTGTGCTGCCTTAGAGGTTGACCAGGGATGGGCGTAGCTTTCCCAGCATGGCTGCTCAAGGGTCTTACGGAGGCTTGTGAGTCCTAGTTTTCATCAATGCTTTGCAAGTGAAAGATGTGGGTGTCTTTATGAGAGGTGTTTTTCAAGCTGTGCTCCTGAAGAACGATTAGAAGAGAATGATCTACTGATAAGAACTGTGGGCACTCCTTGCAAATTTGCAGTAAAACAAAATGATGAGTAGACTTCTCTGTTTTTTTCCCTGGAGCTTTAGTGCTTTGTGGTGCTTGTTCATGAGATTTTTCAGTGTACGAAAGGAATAAATGTGTATACGTGAGTAGGAAACAGCCTAGTGAGTAGAAGTGTCTGCTTGGTTAGTTTCACGCCCAGCTTCCATGGACTTGCTCAGCTCCGATTTGCTATAGACCTATGATACTACTTTTCTTGGCTTG